AAAGAGAAAAAAAAAAAATCAGTGGGCTCTGGGTTGCATGAACTTGCTATTAGAAAATAAAAAGTTGATGTTTGAATCCAGGCCAAGATATAATAGAATCACCTTAGATATTTACTCAGGGTTTACAAAAGTTTATTTTAAGGTTAAGAAACTTGCATAACCAAGTTTTTATCAAAGTTTATTTTAAGTTTGACTATAATACATATACATAGAATGCCAAAAATCAAACCCATGATTGGACAAATATAGTGCCTGTAAAGTTACATACAAAAGTTTAGCAATGCCTTAGCATTAATCATAGCCCATTGTAAACACAAAGAGCTTCAATTTATGTTAGTCTTAGTTCCTATGACCTAATGGATTTCCTTAAGAGAACTATATTGAATAGTTTCTTCCTAATGCTAGAAATTATAGTTATATAATGAGGAATTTTGAAAAGTTTTATTTTACCCATAGAACATCTTCCTTATATTTAAATAATTCTTCATTCCTTTAACCCTTAATATTACCTGTTAAAAAGTTTAAAAAAAAAGTATTTATATTTTTATTTCACATTTCATTTTTTTATTTGTACCAATATATGAAGTTATATTTAAAGGAGACAACAAACAGACTTGTGAAATAAAAAAATATAAACAAATATTTTTTTAGTTTTTAACAGGTAATATTAAGGGTTTTCTTAAATATACATAATCATATAACCAAAGAATTATGCACAATTCAGTAGTTGATTAACATGAAAAGGATATTCAAGTGGGAAAAAAAACTGGTTATAGAAGAACACATGTAACATGAACATTTTTATATGCACAGGAAAGATAGTATGGAAAAGAATCCTATCTATTAACAATGATCACGGCTGAGCTGGGGAGTAAGGAATGGACTGGCAGGTAAGCAGCTTATACAGTCTTTCAAAAATATTTATACAAAATATTACTGTCACATTAAAATACTAATTTTCTAACTTTATAATATAAAGAAAAAGCTGATGATTTTAAAAGTTCTGTGAAACTGTTTCTAAAGTAGTTTATTTTTAAATGTATTTTTAAATCACTCTAAGGAAAGTAAAATATCAAAAATACTAATGAGTATCTTCCTGCCATATAGTCCCAGGTACTAAATCTTTTGCTGCCATCTGCTGGAATGTGGTTACTAATGCATGCAGCGAGATTTCCTTCTCCTCCTGGGAAAAAAGTCTTCCCAAAGGATGATGATGATGATGATAATAATGATGATGGAATTTGAAAATGAGTGCAATGCAAAATGAAAATTAGTTTTTGTGACTAGTGTTGAAATTTTGTTTTATTCTCCTCAACTAACATTGGATTTGGCCCTTCTTCCCTTGAAAATCCTGAAATAAATTACCTTTTACAAGGAAATTTCCTACTAAATGATGCCTGGGCTTTCTTCAATATTAGATCTTAATTCCCCCAAAACTCAAAGTTTTTGTGCCAAAACATGTAAATTAGTGATTTTTCTTTTCTATCTCAAAACCAGATTTGTCTGAAAAGGAAGGAGCACAAAGCAGGAAGGGGCCAAGCAATATTAAACAGGTGAATGAAAGGAGGAGATTAACATGGGATAAATGACACATAAAAATACATTATACAGCGTGTGCTACCAATCAGGAAAGAAATAAAACACTAGATCAGCTCCTTAAGTAAGAACAATGTGGTTTTTGTATATACAAAACATTATTAAAAATGAAGATTTCTTAAAACCATAATAGTATAAGGGTCTATGTAACAAACGAGTCTTGTCTGGGAGATTTCACAGGTGAAAATAATATATTTTCAAACTTCAAACTTGAGATAAAATCTCAAGATGTTATAGCGCCTATTTTTTTTTTCATGTAAAATCTATATTTATAAAAGGCTAGTACACTAAGTGTCCCTCTGCCCATCTCACTGGCCACTATGACAAACACTGACCACCAGGGGGAAGACGTTCTCGCAGGAGCTGCCAAGCTGCAGTGACTTGTCAGTGGCGGTTCCCAGGTGACACACCCCAAAATCAGAGAGGAGGGAGCCTAATTCCGCACGGGGCCAAGCAATTCCACCTTTGACCATGGGTTATGTTGTTGCGGAGGCACTGTCGACCGTGAATACCGTTTACTGCACACTTCCATTTGCATTCCACACCCTGTATGACAGCAACTTTGCAGAGTGCCCTCTCGCACTCCTGGACCCATTGGGAGATGTCAGAGAGCTGGTTTCAGCCTGATCCCAGCAGGCCAGGCTGGGGGACTCCACCTGCCAAGGGACCCCACTCACTCTGCAGACGCCTTGAGCCAAGGCGCCACCCCAGGTGTGCTGGCCGGGGAGGGGCCGGGGGAGGTTGGCTCCAGGGCATGTCCGGTCCACCTTGCCTAGTCCTGTCCGACAGACCACCTTCTAATTAATTTCCTTTTAATGTGCACAAATCTGTGCACTGGGTCACTAGTGTAGATATAAAAAGCAGCACGTTTAAAGAGCTTTGGAAAGACTGAATGAAAAGGTATGAGTTAAGTATGCAGAATTATACTAGGCACAAGGCAGCACTCTGCAGGGAGTAGCGATAGTATCCATTCAGCACATGCAGCTTTGTCTAGAACAATGTTTGTAGAAGGCATTTAACTAAGGGCACTACTCTAGCAACAAAAATAATTTGTTTAGGACGACAAGTTCTGAGTTTGAATGAGAAATCATATTTCTCTTGCGATATAGTAATTCTTGTGTCTGTCTCTACGTGATACTATCGAAGAATACATACTGGTCTAAGTTGACTAACCATAGCCAGTGTCCCTCACTCATGAGATGCTGATGAACACATTTAAAACAGTGTCATCATTGTCTTTCCTCAAGATACTGATTTTTCCCTTCTATAAGTCTTCTGCTGATCCCCCCAAACAAAAACTACCAACACTTGGAATGAGTTTTCAGCAGTGTGGACAAGGGGTGACTTCTGTCCAGGACCTTTGTGGCTGAGTTGCATAAAGAGCGTATCTGATATTGACTGAATTCAATCCCAGGCACTCTTGCAAGTATTCCACCTGTATCATTTCATCTATACGCCCAGTTCAGGTGGCTGGCCATTCTTATTATCTCCCATCCTTTTATTTATTTATTTATTTATTTATTTATTTAATTTTTTTTTTTCAGAAGAGGAAACTGGGGCACAGCCATGCTAACTTTCAGACACCACAGGGGCATAAGGAAGGGGCGCCAAGATTCAAACCTGCAGTCAGACTCCCGCGTCTGCAAACGTCATGCTCTCCTGTCCCATTCGTCCGCACACTATTCGGGAGTCACAGGCTTCACGTCCTATTTGTGGCAAAACGAAGGCGAGGCTTAGGCTCACGCAGCAGGTGCGGATGGAGGCCCCGTGCCACCGGCTCAACCAAGGCTCTGGGCGCGCGAGTGGGAGCTGGACCGGTCCGGTCTCCTAGGCAACAACGGAAGCCCCGGCGGCCTAGGCGCCGCCTCCCCCAGGACCCAGCGGGCTGATGTCATTTCCTCCAGCTGGACGGTTGCCCCGGCGACGCGTGGGGCCCTGAGGAGGTGTTGGGTACCGGAGCGACCTGGCGGTAGGGAAGTCACTTCCTTCCGGAGACGCTGTCTCCTAGCAACCGCCAACCACCTCCGTTTTTGGCCCCGCCCCTCGCCCATTCCAGTTCCCAGCCTCGGAGACGCCGGCCCGGGCCTTGGGAGGAGGCTCCTCCCCGAGGCCAGGCGCTCGGACCTGGGGTCCCGGAGAGCCCTCGGCAGGAGCGGGTACAGGGCGTGGGGTTTGGAGGCGGGAGGCCGGGGGGTCGCGGAGGAACAGACGGGGGCGGCCCGGGAGGGCGAGGGTCCGGCGCCGGCGGGCGGCGCGGAGCGCGGAGGCGGCACCTGCGCGCCACCTGGCCGCCCTGCGCGCTCCCGGCGGCTGCGGCTCCCGGCCCGGCCTCCGCTCCGAATGGGGAAACGCTCACGGGCCCATCTGTACAGGCACTTGAATGCAGCAGCCCACTGCGGGGCTCCTTTTTTCTTACCCTGTTAACACTGTAAGAGGGAACAGCGGCTTGGAAAAAAAAAAAAAGCCTCTGTTTGCAGGCTAGCCTTAGGATCGTCCTCTTTCCCTAGCAATGCAAGCTTTTTTCTTTCTTTTTCTTTCCTTCTTTCCTTTTCCTTTCTTTCTTTCCTTTTCTTTTTTTTTTTTTAAATGCAGGTAATCTCTTGGTTGGTAGCCTTTTAAATACTAAGTATGACTGTTTTGTCGGCAGTAATTTTTGAATGCAAGAGAGGTGAGAAAGAATATTTGTCATTTAATGGGCAGCATTTTATCCTGTTAATCTACTGCAGGCCTGGTGCACGAAATTTGTGCACTAGGGGGGGAGGTGTTCCTCAACTAGGGAAGGGGTCCTCAGCCTGGCCTGTCCCTTTTAACAGTCCAGGAGCCCTCAGGAGATGTCAGTCTGATGCTTAGGCCCAGGGAGCGGGCCTAAGCTGGCAGTATTGGACATCCCTAGTGCTGCCCCAGATGCAGAAGATTCTCTCCCCACCACCACGTCACTGGCCATCTGTGGCTCACTGACCACCAGGGGGGGCAGCTCCTGCATTGAGCATCTGCCCCCTGGTGGTCTGTGTGCATCCTGGACCAATTGGTCCATTTATATATTAGTCTTTTATTATATAAGGTTACATTCATTTATTGGTTCATCTATAAATTATTGTGGCAAAATTACTTTAAGATAACTTCAACTTGAATATTTTTTTTTAAACAAACTTGTTATGAAGATTTGATACATCTTTACAAGAACTCTGCGTTCAGTGTAGATGTACCTCAGTGTTTACATGGTGCTTTTCTTGCTTTTGTTTGGCTTTGGGGGCACTAAGTGTGATACTAGAAACTCAAGCATGCAAAAATGTCTAATTTGGTTGTTTTAATATTTCAGCCACCATCAGAGGTTGAATTATTACTGTTGTTTATTAAACATTTTATAAAGGTAACAGGAGAAAACAAAGAGAATCCCATACACTATGTCTGGTGAAGTTTTTAGCACAACTTTGGCATATACAAAGAGTCCAAAAGTCACCAAAAGGACTACTTTCCAGGTAAATTATTTGAAACGGTTTGATAAGTAAACACTGTGTTAGGGATATTTGATTTGAATTAAATTTTGAAAGAATTCTATATAAAGCTGGAGTAAGACTTACATCGCTTTTAAAATGTTGCAGGTGGTTGTTTTTGGGCTGTGGTATTACAAACCATTCTGTGTGTTTAACATTACCAAACTAGCCTGAATGATAGGTTCTTACTTAAAAGTTAAGTTAGCTTTTCAGAGTTAAATAGCAGCTTTAAATTGGTGTTTTCATATACATGTTGTATGGTTTTTCCCTATTGTAGCATAACAACATGGAAGTTTTCTCTGTCCAGTCATCACAGTTTTGAACTCCGCCTCTAAATTTGCAGTGTTGATTACATCCATAACTGCAATCTTCAGAAACAAAAGGTCTTTAAAAGTACCAGTTTCTTCCAAGATGCCAATTTATAATAAATCCTGCCTGAGTCTCCTCAATTACTTTATTTGATAGTCTTATCTCCTCCAATTTGGCTGTAAGCTCCATGAGGAGAGGAACCTTATCTGTAATGCTCTGCATTGAGTCTGGGGACTTAGGTTCCTGGCATAGGTTGGCTTCAGTGAATATTATTAGATGAATAAAACCTGAGTTTGAAAGCAATCATTAAGCAAGCACTTTTCGTTTAAAAAAATTCTAAATATGATACTTCATATTTGGATGGAAATTGATTTTAATTCTTTTATTTCAGGATGAGCTAATAAAAGCAATTACAGCTCGCTCAGCCAGACAAAGGAGCTCTGAATACTCAGATGACTTTGATAGTGATGAGATTGGTATGTGAGAATATGGAACAGTAAACCACTTTTCTTCTTTTTGTTTACTTATTATAGTTATAGTTAGTTCATGCCTCAAAAAATTACTATGCTAAAATTATATTTACGAATTCACTAGGTTTAGATTTCCAACTTTTTATCGAGTAAAAATTCACTCTTAATTTTCAAGAAGTTGTATGATTATCCTTGGTTGTTTCTGAATGTGAATATGAAAATATAAATTAACTAGCAAGAGGTTTGCAGTAAAAGGATGCTTATCAGTGGTAAACTAAGTTTCATTTTTAAGATCAACTAATGCTGTGAGCCTCTGCAGTGAATTAATAATTAGGGGCCATAGAACTAAACTTCCATGCACATCAAAATCACTTTTATAATGCTTTTTATAAATCAGATAGATTTTTTTTTTTTGGCTGTTATAGGGGCTCAGTTTTCAATACTGGTATTATTTAATTTGGTTTCTTTTGATTATATAAAAATATTAACATTTAGAATTAAAAATACAGAATTCTAAACTTGGAATTCAGTGTTTTATGCGTTAAGATTCAGTGAAAAATGCTTATGATTAAATGAATCATTCATTTCATCATTGCCATATAGTTAACATTTTGTGTTATTGTTCTCATAGTAAAATCTAATGAAGTTGTTTACATATAAACATTTTACAGTTCATAATCTAAATATCTCATGACCTTCTGTTATTTTGAGGAAACTTTGGATGATTTTTCTCAGGGTAAGGACAATGCTTGGCACCACTATTCACACTTGAAAAGTATGTTTTGAATAAATTAATGAAATTGAAATTTGTATTTTATAAATACCAATAAAAACTGCCTAAGTTTATTTATAATCTTTAAGGCAATCTTTTGATTAATGAAACCTTCCATACTTTAAGATATACTATTGAAGACATTTTTTTCTTCTGTTTTCAGTTTCCTCAGGTGATTATTCTGACACCTCCATAGATGAAAATTCACTGAAGAAAACAATGAATGATTTCCAGATATCAGATGATGAAGAAAATAATTTTCCTAAACTGTCCTTTTTGAAAACTAAGAAATCAAATAGTGACCCAATGACAGAGGAGCCAAGCCTCTCTAATAAAAGAGACGAGGAAATGGCGCCTGGGACTTGTGAAGACAGGGTTGCAAATCTCTTATCTGAGTCTCAAAATGAAGACCAGGAAACTGAAAAAGAGAAACTTCAAATGAAACCTAAACCCAGAATTCTTTCACTCAAAAACACATCTTCAGGTAATTTATTAGATCACTATAACTGCATTTCTTAAAAAGTAATTTTAAGATAACCAGGCACAAAATGCCTTCATATTTAAGAGGGGGGAAATAATCAGACGTAATTTTTCATCTTTACACACATAAATAAAAATAATAGAACCATGGAGAAAACCCATAATTTGGACGTCCAGAGATATATTTAGTGTAGCATCTTTGCTGGTGCCCGATAGAAGGCTGAAGGACCTTCACTCATCTACCCCTGTGCCTCCGGAAGCTCCTGGGTCCAGCCTTGCCTGAGTCTATGACTTTACTTTTGTTTTTAGGGATGAAACTGCAATGGAATCCTTTCTAATCCATCTCATACTCCAGGGATTAAAGTTATGGCAGTACTGGAACTAGTCCTTAAAAATAATTTCCCTGCCCCCATTTGCCAGAATATTGTTTGGCATTTATATAGTTAAAAGAAGAGAGTTTTGTTGTTTTTGCTGTTAAGCCTCTAGAGTTGTCATTAGGAAGAGGATTCTCCATATAGTTTCTCTATTCCCTAAGAAAAATCCTCTGAAACTCAATGTTTCGAGAGTAAATTCCTGGTGTGAACTGGAAATACAGTAGTTTCTCCATAATTTCACTGAGCTCCAGGCACAGTGGACCAAAGCTCCATCCTCTGAGGTCCCCAAGCCACCACACGGAAACATGGGCATGGAAAGTTAAGGGTTTTGTGTCCTATCATCTTCCTTCTTTTCTGTTTTACAGGGAAAATAGTACTTGATGTTAACTGGCATAAAATTATCTTTCCTTTCTATCATCCTTAAATATTGTACTGGTAAATTAAATTTTTTACAGAGTAGATATCACTGATAACATTAGCACTCGCAGCCCCTGTACCGACATTATCTCCAAGTTTGACATGCTTGACATGTATTAGGGAGCCACTCCTTATATCCCCTCCCCCAACCCCCACCCCCACAATTCTATTAAGTGATGCTTGGATTTGGTGGAACAGAGAGAACAATCTAGAATGACGCTTGGAATCTGGATTGAGCATTTAGGATGTAGCTAAAGTTGACAATAAAGCATTTACATTGGTACCAACTGGCATGGTTGTAGTGGTTGTAGACTCTTCTAGCAGCATTCGTAAGTCCATTTATAGGCAGAAAGGAGGAAGGTGTTTATTAGTCTAGTTTTGAAATTTTGTCAGAAAACTGCATTGATAGAACAATGGAAAAATGAATATATGAACAGGTAAAATTTAGGCAAAAATTAATACAAAAAATTTGTTATCATGTTTTGAAGGCTGAAAGTATACTGGCATTAGATTATTATTTTAAACCTAGAAGTAATTGAAATAGTAACTGAGCTTTTTTAATGACTGCTTGAGAAATTTCATGAACTCAAAGAACAACTCAAGTCATCAAGTTATTTTTAAAACTATATTTTTATTGATTTCAGAGAGGAAGGAAGAGGGAGAGAGAGATAGAAACATCAATGATGAGAATCATTGATCTCTTTCCTCCTGCACACCCCCTACTGGGAATTGAGCCCACAACCCAAGCATGTGCCTTTGACCAGAATCCATTCTGGGACCCGTTAGTCCACAGGCCAAGGCTCTAGCTACTGAGCCAAACCGGCTAGGGCTCAAATCATAAAGTTTCTCATTACTTCCTCCTATGAGATCGAGCACTCCCAGCCCCTGTACCGACATTACCTCCATACCTGTAACAGCTCTCACCTTTGTCTTAAATGTATTTCTTTAGACTCCACTCCTTTCCCAACCTGTAAAGTCCTTGGACAGGACCATCACAGTCCTGGTTATGAGGTCCAGGGATGTGAGTCACATGTACAGGGCCCAGACTCAATTAAGGTTTGCTAGAGACGAGTCCCATCATTGTTTAGGGCCCAGCGTTGTTTGTTTTTAGTATTTATTTTAATGCAATGAGAATTCGTAACGTAGAGGAGCTAACTTCTCACAAAACTAAAGTTACTTCCAGGATGGCAGCCATTTTTAAAAATTTGGATTATGAACTGTCGCTTCTCTCTGCTCACTGGAGCTCTGTGTACAGAAGGGCCATGGGCTTCCTCTGGACTCCCCGGGACAGACAGCCAGGTGCATGGGCACAGGAGGAAGCGTGGTGGCACCTGAGGGTGCTGTTGAAGCCATTGTGGGGTTTTGTACACACATCTTAAAACACTATTTTTCAGCAGAAAACAGCAGCAGCCTTAAAGCAGAAAACCACTTCACACCTTCACCTCGGCCGAGGAGCATGTTGAAAAAGCACAGGCTCCAGGAAGAAAAAGATGGACGAGGAGAAGAGAAAGAAGCTGCCCTCCGGGAAGAACTAGAGGCACATCCTGCACCTCCGTCCCTCCCAGAGCCGAATGACAGCCAGCCAGAAGCTGAGGAAAAAACATTCTCTGAAGACCTTGATCCTGAGGTTAGTACTCCTGCTGAACTGCCAAGCTGTGTTCTCCACTCCAGGCCTTGGCATCTAATCACGAGAGAGAAAATTTCTATGCATGTATGTGTATGTGTTACATGTTTTCTTCAACATGGTTGTAGATATGTATTATGTCCATATGTATGATATGGACATAATTCTATGGTTTATTTTAATATACTGTATTTCATTGAGTCTGAAACGCCATCAATTGTAAGATGTAGCAAAGATACAGCATTATATTGTGCACTGCCATGAGAGAATAAAATTCTGCCAATAAAACCATAACACAACAGTAATTATAATGTGCATCCAATTTCAAAGAAAGTAGAATGTAAAAAAAAAAAATGTTGCTCTTTTGAATCTATGCAATATTGCATAACTTTAATTGTAAGACTTTATATTTTTATTTATGTATTACATGTTATTTATTTATGTATTTTTGCATTATATAATTTGCATTATTGGTGTAGGAAATCGCCAAACCTGTAGAGAATTTTTATGTGTTTGTTTGAGCCAAACTAACAACAGTGGCCACAAAGCAAAATCTCAACAAATGGAGAACATTTTCTGGAAAATGCCACTTTTGCAGCTTATTTTATACATTAGAATCAAAGGAGGAGTCTCAGGAGGGATACATGAAATCATTGGTAGTATAATGATTCGGGAATAGGAGAAAGCAAAGCAGGGAAATCTGGATAAAAAGTAAAATGGAGAGACACATAGTTCTACATTGCGGGGTTTGGGACAGCTAACAATTAACATTTACTACACACAGAGATGGTATTCAAGAAACAAGTAACAGTGAGGGGTTTTGTGGCCTCTTGCTTTGGTGAGGTGGGTGTGCCCTGAGAATTGACATTTCCAAGGTATGTTATCTTAGATGCAAAAAGATAATAGGCTCACCTAAGGTAAAGGTTGACCTTTGTCAAGGAAGCCATAGGCTTAGGATGTGACTGCTTGCCATGACCTGCTTTTAGTTAGGAATTTATGTTCAGACCACCCTATGCGGTTACTTTTGGCCCACCTCCCCTGAGTTTGTAAGATTTGGTATGTGACCCTTTGTTATCCATGCCAACTAAGGACATTGTAGCCAGTGTCAGTGTTTTCATTTGGTTTTAGTTATTGAATGTTTGGTTTTAGTTATTGAATGTTTGGTTTTAGTTTTTGAAAAACTAAATGGCACTGTCCTATATTTTCAGGGCCATTAAAAAATGGAAGTAATTGTGATCTTTCAGGATTTCATCAGGAAGTTTACTATGTATCATCTTTAGGGGAGAACATGTGGCTCCCGTCTTTACACTTCACTATCATTAACTTCCACCTCACATTTCAGAGGGGATGAGTATGGAAGAACATTCCTTCTCCCTAATGTGCTGAGGCAGATCAGGGAAATGGAACTACATGGTGCCTGGCTAACTTCCATGAAGACATTTGTGTCATCCTGGCATTCTGTCTTTTATTTCTAATACTAACGGCCCAGTGCACGAATTCGTGCAAGGATGGGGTCTGGCCGGCCCGCCTGGTCAATGCCAATCTATTGAGCCGGGCTGGCCAGAGGGAGGGGACATGGGAGGCTGCAGGCCGGTTGAAATCCCGGTTGAGGGGATAATTTGCATATTAACCTTTTATTATATAGGATAGAACTTATAATTTCTATCTTTCTTGTTAAATCTTGATAGGCATTGCTCAGTTTTATTAAACTTTTCAAAGAACCAACTTTGGCTTTGTTAATTTTTTCTATAGTTTGTTTTCAATTTCACTGATCTTCACTCTTTATTATTTTTCTTTGGGTTTAATTTGCTTACCTTTAAAATGTGTTCACTGATTTAAAAAGCCTTTTGCATCCTTCTTAATAAAACCATCAAAAGCTATAAATTTCCCTCTGTGCTGCTTTAGCAGTACCCAATTTTTTGATGCCATTTATTTTAACTTTTTAAGTCTATTTTCTAATTTTCCTTGTGACACCTTATTTTGTGCCTAATTATTTTATTTCCAAATATTTGGACCTTCTCTAGATAAATTATAAATCAATACAAAAGATTTTATTGTAATTTTATTGTGATCAAAGAATATATCTTATATAATTTCAAATTTTTAAAAAAATTGTTATTATTATGGCCCAGCCTAAGTGTATCTTGAGAAAGTTCCACTTGCTTTTTCAAAATAATATGTGTTCTGCAGATGTTAGATTTAATTGTCTATAATTTTATTTTGCTCAAGGTGCCTGGCAGTATCATTCACATCTTCTCCATTCTCACTGACTTTTATCTAGTTGATTCTCCTAGTACTGCCTAAAGGTGTTAAAATCTCCAGTTATGCTTGCAAATTTGTCTGTACTTCCTTTCAGCTTGCCAGTATTTTATGACTCTGTTATTAGACACATCATACACTATGTCTTGACCCTATTTCGCATTATGAAATGTTTCTATCTGGTGATATTCCTTATCTTGCAGTTTGTTTTGTGTGATGTGTCAACTTTATGATGATGTTTGCATGGTAAATATTTTTCTATCATTTTTCTTTCAAACTATTTGTGCCTCTTTCTTTAAGTGACTCTTTTGTAATAATAGTTGAATGTCATGTTTTTATAAAGTCTGACAATCTACTTTAGTGGTAGTCCATTTATGAGTCCATTAGAGCATTCATAAATATTTAGTCTATTTACTTTTTTTTTTTTAAAGATTTTATTTTATTTCAGTCTATTTACTTTTAATCTTAAGTACATATAGAGCTAATTTGTTACTGTTTGCTTTGTATTTATTTTACCTGTTGTTGTTTTAATTGATATTGTTCTTACTGTTCCTCTATAACTCCTTTACTGACTTTTTATAAGAGTCAGTCACATATTTTTTGTTTTCCCTTGTAATTCCTGTTGCTTTTTTGCCTGTACCTATTTCCATTATATTTTAGTAGTTGCTCTATGGATTGGGTTCCTGTTCTATAAAGAAATGTTTATTTTAAACACACAAATATAATGATTTCATTTAGTGTAATTTTTAGAATTTTGAAGAAAACTGAGGTGCATAAAATCTTATATATTTGTAAGTAGCTATGTACTTGGTTTTATAATTGCTTTCATTTGGACACCTAGTAATATTTGTTTCAAAGTAAGGATTTTTACCTACTGTCATCTTTATGCTTAGAATGGAGAATTAGAGAAATAGATATCAAATCTTTACCTTAAATACATATGAGATTTGATTTTAGAGTAGCAGAAATTTTAAAAATTGCTAAAAACAAATGTAGAGATATTTGTTAAAGAACTAGAATAGCTCTGGAGTGACCCCTTTGTGTGTGTGTGTGTGTTTGTTTTTTTGTTAATCCTCACCCAAGGATATTTTTTCATTGACTTTTAGGGAAAGTGGAAAAGAGAGGGAAAGACAGAGAGAGAAACATCAATGTGAGAGAAACACATTAACTGGTTGCCTCCTGCATAAGCCCTGATCAAAGATGGGCTGGGGAGGAGCTCCCAATCAAAGTATGTGCCCTTGACTGGAATCGAACCCGGGACTCTCTGGTCCACAGGTTGATGCTCCATCTGCTGAGCCAAATCGGCTAAAGCTGTAGTGATCCCTTTTAATGATCAAGACATGGAGGCTTGAAAGTAAAACATCTGAACCTCCACTATTTTAACAAGCTTTTGGTGTTGCATCAGCAAACTCCTAAAAATCCAGGTGTCAGACTTATGAAATAGTTTTAATAATGCAGTTGTCCTCCATAAATCTTGAGAACTGACCTAACATAAGTACTTTTTTATTATCTTTTATTTTAAGCAGGATCCATGGTTAACAAGTTTATCATCATCATCCCTTAAAGAAAGTTTTGGAGATTTCCTTTCACCAGTATCTGGGGAAAAAACATCTATAAAAGGTGATTATATCAAATTATTGTATATAATATAATAATTAATAACACAAGAATAAATTGCCTTTAGTGCCCCATTGGTATCTGAGGCAACACTGCATCTTAGTGGGAATAAAACTCTTTAGAGGGTGGCTTTTCTCTGTGTGGGGGACTATTCTAGCGTGACATGCATTCTTGGTTCTCCTTGCACTTACACAATTTTACATCTGCTCTACTAAGAACTGTAGTAGCATAAGGTAGGTATGTGTGCCTCTTACTTGCAATGCCTCTTTTTACAAGAAACAGGCTTTTGAAGACAATTGATATTGCCATCTGACTTACTTGGTTTATAGATCAACAAGCACTTTTGGTGTGTCTTTGGTATAAGGTAGTTATTCCATACTATTCACTAATTTTCTAAGCGTTTGGTACGTCAGATGTTTTACTTGGTTGAGTAACAATTTTCTCTTTTGTAGATCACTGGAAAAAAGTTTATTCAAGTTGAGTATGATAGATTTATGCATATTTTATTATGCAAGAAAAAGGGATTAATAACATTGAGTGGAAAGCAAATGAATCTCTTATCTACCTTATTAATTTACAATGGAGTTTTAGTGCTATTACTCTGTCTCAAAATAGATCAGAATGAAGAATTCACCGAAAATCATCATTCCTTGAAATCAGACAAAAATGAAGATAATTCACTGTTGATAGACTTTGTTACTTCTGCACTTGAGAAATCCAAGGAAGGGCAAGTGACTTCTGATGACCTTGAAGAAAACAAGGAGAAAGCTAAGTTGGTAATGAGTGAGGACTTAACAGTTGACCCACCACTATCTCAGCAGAATTTAAGATCTACCAGTGCAATTGAATCTGCAAAGGTATTCAAATAAAATTATACCTTTTATATCTTAAAGCTCAAAATACAACTTTATTTTGTTTTCCATGTTTGATACTTCTGAATTATCTGTGGAAAACTCATCTTTGATTATGGTTTTATCAAGTGGTTCTTAATTCAATAGGATTTTAACTTCAGGGAAGTTAAATATAATAGTGAATATAATAAAACTTATTTTTCATTAAAATTATCAGAAGTATATGATAATATACTTTTAAATATATCAGAAATACATACACATAAGTGGATAGGTTTCTATAGGTCTTCATTTAAAAATGCAGCCACCTGGAACAATTGCCAAGGTTTTAATATCATCTTTAAACATTTTATCAATTTTTAATGAAAATCTTTAAGAAGAAGTGTTTACCAATATCCATGCATGTTAAAATGGATGGACAGGGTCATTATCAGAAACATTTTATTGTAATCTTTAGAGCCAAATCTGTGGTGTGTAGGATTATTTGTCCCTGTGCTACATTGCACCAGAGTGTGGTACTTTTAAAATTTATGGCATAGCAATTTTAGTCTGCATTTTCCTGAATTTAGTTTTTATCACTTATAGCTGCAGTTGACCGATGGCTATGTATATTTGTTATTGGGAAAGATTACAGTGCTAGCTGAAAACTTGTGCTTGAATAGGACTTTATTATAATACAGACTATTAGCTTTTTATTAAAATGTATAGAGACGGTTCATTAAGCCTTGTTTCAGATATATTGTCCTTAACCACTTCCCTTAGGAATAAAGACGAATGCCAAATTAGGGATATGTTTATATCTGTAATGCTAGCAACTCATCTGTCTGTGTAGAGTAGAGAAGTTATTCCTAAAAAGGAAGAATGGTATTCTGGAATTTATAGATAGAATCTTAGAAATGTCTAACAGAAGTAATTCTAAATGAAAATAGTTAATTTACATATGACAAGATTATATTTCTTTTAACTGAATCTATCCTTAGCTTTATTCTTACTTGCTACTGAGTGATCTTTCTTATTTGGGAATCAAATTACTCTCCTGCTGGGGTCTCTTTGTTGGATTCTCATTTTGAGAATACGTGTGAACTCACTATTCCCTAAGGATTTCCCAGGATTCTTTTTGTACCACACATGGTCCACATATTCCTCCTCCCTCCCCATTGTTCACTGGGCTTCTTTCGCTGTTTCTCAAAATTACCAAACTCTTTCCCTTCCCAGGCTCTTGGCACTTCTGACCCTTCTTCCTACAGACTTTCAGGTGGCTCCTTTCTACTGTTCATTTTTCTTAGCTCTGATGTCAAGCCCTCAGAGAGGCCCCCCCTTTCCTCAGCTCCAGTCACTGTCATTGGACTCTTTTCATGAGTCATCTTTATCTTTTTACTCGTGGCCCAGTGCACAGATTTGTGCACATTGGAAGGAAATTAATTAGAAGATTCGTGCAGTAATTACATTACTGAAAGAATTACATGCCAAAATAGTATATATAATATAGTATATTAAAATTAAAATACAAAATATTTGCCCTTTATCTATAATAGAAGTGTCAGAGATGAAAGAAAATAAGTAAAATATATATTAAAATCATATATAAATTGATTAATAAACAATAACAACATGATATGATATAAAAATAACAAATCATGATATAAAAACAACAAAAACATGATATAAAAACAACATTGGAATAAACAATGAATGAGAAATTGATTAAACTTATTCTAATATCTCTTTGTATTCCACATTAAGAGTAAAAACACTTTCAGAGTGCTTGACTAATTTCCCTTGTGATGAAGTATTTACAACTTTAATGTCACATGCTCTTCGAACTTGAGAAAAAGCAAAACATAATTGACCATGTCCAAAAACGGGGTCAGGTAGGAATATTCCTACTCTGTCAAGAGTTTGTCCTTGTGATTTATTAATAGACATCGCAAATGCTGGCATCATGGAATACTGTCTTTAAATTAATTTAAATGGGAGGTCAGTGTCAGATGGGGACAAATCAATTCTAGAAATCAGAACAACCTCTCCTTCCACAGATCCTGTTAATACTTCAGCCTCGATTATGTTAGATTGCAATCTTGAGATAATAAATCTAGTACCATTACAAAGACCGCACTTACTATTAAGATTTCTCAGTAGTATGATGAGTGCACCTACTTTCAATTTTAGTTTATGACATGGCATTAAGAAATTCCATGGGAAAATTTTCCTTTTTGGCATCAGCCATTGAATCAATGGAATCATCACTCAAATAGGTGTGAAAATCTCCATCAAGTATATCCAAAATTTCTTCATTTAATTTATGAACGTGCTCGTTTTTAGGACATAGAACCGTACATTTAGGTATATTTTTAATATAAATAATATTTTAATATAAATAATATTAAGATATATTATTTTCAAAGGTAGCTTCAATAATAGATCCATTACAAATCATTTTACAGTGGAAAATAACATCTATTCCTAAATGAAAACTGCCATCAAGTTTGCCATCTCCTGGTTTTACCAACCATTCGCTGTAAGCAGAATCCTCTGATCTCATATTTGTTTTCAGAGACAACTGTCAGAAACATCCTCAGACACTACAGTACTTCAAACTCATTTGTACTATGGCCGATCGCATAGCATGCAGCACAACACTGAGACATTGTCGAAAATCCCCTCCGAGAAGGAGAACTTTCCCACCAAATGCCACATTCAAATTCATAATTTCTCTTAGTAATCTGTCTGTGGCATTTATAGCATGACTGGATGCATGGTGCATTCACCAATAATGAGAAGTTGGGTATATGTATCGCACATGCGCGAGTCAACATTTATTTTTAAATTGGCAGTGTGTGTCATGTACTGGACGGTTGGATGGTTGGACAGACGTATGGTGAGTAACAGCCTTTTATATAGATAATCAGCTCTCTCTGAAATGTAACATCCTTTGTTTTCAGTGAGTACTTGACACCCTGTAGAAATTTAAGAAACATTTGTTTACTACTGACAGTTTGACTTCTGAGCCTCACTGTGCTAGTTATGGGAAGTAATCCAACTGTAGCCTTTTCTGTTTCATAGAAAACACCTGAAGATGGAAGTAAGAAGAGTAAACAGTCAGCAAATAATAGAGCATCCAGTGCCTCTGGCAGGTAATCAAGTTCTCATCATCTCTTATTTCTGGGTTTACATTACACAAAGCTAGTTTTAATTGAACGTCTGTAAAGTAAATTGCACTTGTTGTTACTTGATTTTCTCTTAATTTCCATCTTATGAGATAAAGGGAGTAGTTTCTTCATGATATAAACCCCTAGTTGGTTAGGATTCTCCATACTCTACATTCCTTCTGGGACAGAGTTTCTCCTGATTTTCCTGAGATAGTAGATATAAAGTGGTAATAAAGCTGAGGTCCAGCATTATATTTCTCTGTTGTTTTTTGTTTTTTTTCTAAAACATGAAAAATTATACTTAAATTTAAGGTTCTATGGACTAAGTTGTTAAAATTCGATGATGGTGATAATGAACACTAACTCATAAATGTTAATCAAACCTTCGGCATCTTTTAATTATCATTAATCAAATGATAGTTAATCAACTAGAATAGGGGTCAGCATGCTGTTGTTGCCACGTGGTACATATGTTGTGCTTTGTGGGCCCAGCCTGGGTTGTAACTCCCCGGTTCTGCTGCAGAGGCCAGGAAGCAGCCACAGACGAGATGTAAATGAGTGAATGTAGCTGTGACTTGGTCAGCTTCTTTACCAAAACAGATGATCACTTTTTTTTTTTTTTTTTTTACCAAAATAGAAAATGGGCCAGATTTTCCCACCAACCCCTGAAATAGAAGTTACCATTCTAACTTTATATTTAGAATAGTTTACATAATAAAATAACACAAGAAACTGTTAAAACCTACTTTATTAATATTGTGGGGTTTTATCAATGTATTTGTGATACAGTACATTGTTAAAAATTTGATACAGAACATTGTTAAAAATGTTGGCATTGCAAATACCAAAAAGAGCAGTCACTTTGAAGCTATATAACTGGAAGTTATAAAATTTAAAATACGTTGAATAGGTCTCTTTGTATAATAAGAAAAGACCATACATGATATTCAAATCAATTATAATTTATCAAGTTAGAATATAGTTTTCAAATGTAGTAGTTGCAAATTCTAACATATCTTTTTCCATGAAGTGCAATTTTAATATTTTATCTTTATTTATTTATTTATTTATTTATTTATTTATTTATTTATTTTTCAGATTAATGACCTCTGAATTTTTAAAGAATTCTAGTTCTATAAGAAGAACTCCATTGAAAACTACCTCTTCTCACTACTTAGGGACTTTGAAAGTCTTAGATCAAAAGTCCTCACACAAACAGAACAAAGAACCTGACAAAGCAGATAACATAAGAGCAGCTGTTTATCAGGTAAAAAGTAATAACAACAATAATAATAATTATAAGAACTAATCACAGCCTTAACCGGTATGGAACAGTGGATAGAATATCAGCCTGCGGACTCAAGGGTCAAAGGTTCCACTCTGTCGAGGGCATGTATCTTGGTTGCGGGCACATCCCCAGTAGGGCATGTGCAGGAGGCATCCGATTGATGTTTCTTTCTCATCACTGTTTCTAACTCTCTCTCTCTCTCCCTTCCTCTCTGTAAAAAATCAATAAAATATATATTAAAAAAAGAATAATCACATAAGGTTACCTATTTATCAAGGAATTAAATTACCCTGTCAGAAATGATGATTTAATACTTAATTTATTGGGAAGTATTTATTTTATAAAATCTGAGCAATCTTTATATATTAGAATATTATTGGAAAAAGAAAAATGATACTAGTTTATATAGAATTCATGAAATCTATTTTGATTTCTATAGTTTTTAATATAATATTCAGAAATATATAAGAACTCAAATTCATTTGGGAAACTTTGAATATCATAGCTTTATTTTTGTTTTCACAGGAATGGTTAGAGAAGAAAAATTTAAAAATACATGAAAAGCACAGAATTAAACGGATTGAAAGTGAAAATTCAAAGATCGAAAATGAGCAGGTATTGTGAAACATAATAAAAAATATTCTAGATTTTTAAGTCAGTAAAATATCTCAATATTAAGTATTTTTAAATCAACTGTTTTTTAAATGGCAGAGTAACTTGTATATAAAAGAAGTGATTTCTGATTTTCTCTGGAGCTTTATACATTTTTAGCTTGATATAAATATAGTTGTTTTACATGAAAAGCAGGTACACATTTTTATTTTTTATGTGTGTGGAATAGCTTTGGCGCTACTGATTATGAACTTAGTTATTGCTTGTGACTACCTACCTACTTCACTCTTAAAAATTGATTTCAATCTTACAATTTAGTCAAGAATATAAAGGGTCATCAACATTAACCTTCAGTTTTCCTTTTTCTAACTTGGATTTCATACATATCTTTAAGAGCAGGCCCTACCTGGGCTCTTGATCCATATCCTTCCCATTGACTGGAACTGAACTCTTGTTTAATTCTCTCCTGTGCTTCATGCTCTGCCTCTAAGTCCTACTTGATAGCCTACAACATGCTGAATCCTCTCCCACCTTCTAAATAAAAGTCCTGAAAAGAAACCAATAACAATAACAAAAACTTTTCATTATGCTGTATAGTACTTAAGTAGGTTTAGAAAGAAATTTCCCAAACACAGTACTGTATGGAGCAGCCTTTTGAATGGGGCATGTCTGTACACCTGTCACCACATTTGCAGCATCTTACTGCTGTGGTCAGTGCCAGACACTTCTCATTTGATCTTCTCAACTCAGTGAGTTAGGTGGTCCTTTTACTTCTAAATTATGTTCTCTTCATAATAAAGTTTTATGTCACTTAATGTTAACCAATATTAAGGCAGGCATGGGATATTTTGGGATTAGATGGAAGTAAGTAAAGTAATATAACATACTTGTTATCATCATTCACCTACATATTTTCCAGTCTGCCACATGTTCACCATTGGAATATGTTTATGTAGTAAGAATTTTATGCTTTGATGTCAAACAAAACTCTGTTCAAAGCAAAATCTGCAGCTTACGGTGTGTTGTGGCCAAATTCTCTTACTCAGACTTTCTTTATAAGCCTAGCACTTTGCTGTTTTTCTTTTACTTAAGTATTTTATTATGAACATTTTACAGTACTACTGAGCCTATTACAGATGTACACTTTGAACAAAAAGTTGTTTTCCTTCCCTTGAATAGTAATAGATCAATAGCTGATAAAATGTATTTTTGTAAAGGACATTTTAAAATACAAATAATTCAGAATATATTTTTCATAAATTAATTTGTATAAACCATTCTAAATAAATTATCTGCTCTGAAACATAATTTCTATATATGATGCATATCAAGGAAAGTAAAGCTAAATATAATTGGGGGTGTATTTATATTTGTCTAGCTATTTGTACATGCATATATAACTATCCACTTTTTCTCCAAAATAGAAAAGAGCTGCTAAGAGAGAAGAAGCCTTAGCATCATTTGAGGCCTGGAAGGCTATGAAGGAAAAGGAAGCTAAGAAAATAGCTGCAAGAAAAAGGCTTGAGGACAAAAACAAGAAAAAAACTGAAGAAGAAAGTGCTGCGAGAAAAGAAGAAGCACAACATGTACTAGACAGCTTTGAATATATTAATTTATTTTAAATATCTGAAATCTAAATTAGTGATTGACTGTGTTTTTACTGATTTTATAATAAGTCAGGAATTCATTCTGGACTTTTTCAGGCTTTTGAAAGATGGAAGGAAAAAAAGATAGAATATCTTAAAGAGAAAAATAAAAAGGAAAAAGAATATGAAAGAGCAAAGAAACAGAAGGAGGAGGAAACTATTGCTGAGAAAAAGAAAGACAACCAAACTGCCGTGGAAAAATGGTAATCCAAAATAAGATTTTGACCTATTTGAATTGATAACACTCTAGGATTTCTAAAAATTATTTCCCTGAAATTTACTAGTGCATCTCAATCTCATTATTTCCAAGATATATTAGGAAATCTTTATTATATGTTCTCCTTTAACTTTCCAGTGTTTTATACTATCCTACATAGGAATGAAAAAAAGGAAGCTTTTTTCAAAGAAAAGGGAAAAGAGAAAATCAGTGAGAAAAAGAAAGAAGAACTGAAAAGAGCTGAGAAAAGAGATAAAGATAAACAAGCTATTGATGAATATGAAAAATGGCTGGTAGGTTTTGTTTGCTAATGCATTTATTATATACTAGATGCCCAAAGCACGAAGATTCATGCAAGAATGGGCCTTCCTTCCCCTGGCTGCATGTTTTATTTCATAAGGCTACAAGGTTTTGATTACATCACTCTTTAAACTGTTGTGTGTGCCTGAAATATTTATCTTATTTTTTTGTAAAAATCAAGGACTAAAAGTAATGTAAATAAAATGTTTGCTGCAAAGCTAATATTTATTATATGATAACTAGAGGCCTGGTGCACGGATTCGTGCACTGGTGGGGTCCCTCAGCCTGGCCTGTGTCCTAGCAATCCAGAACCCCTCAGGGGATGTCAGATTGCTGGTTTCAGCCTGATATCTGCAGGCCAGGGAAACCGGCAGTCTGACATCCCCTGAGGGATGTAGTAGTGTGGCAAGCGAGGAGCCTGAGCCTGAGCTGGGCGCTGAGTCACTCCTGCTCATCCCAACCCCACTGTGCCTGCCACTGCTGCCAGCTGTGAGCTTGGCATCCGGTGCCTGTCAGTCAACTGAGTGGCACTCCCGCTGAATTGAGCATTGCCCCCTGGTGGTCAGTGCACGTCATAGCAACCAGTCGAACAGTTGACCTGTTGCTTAGGATTTTATATATATAGAGATGTAACTTGCCAAAAATTAAAAATGCTGATATCCATACAGTTAAGATGACCCAAATAATTGAGAAAAAAAACTTACAAAAGGGCTCAAGCTTAAAAATAAATAAGCAAAGAAACATGAGGCTCAATTTTCAACTGTTTGTAAAAGATCTGAAGTATTCCTTGCTGCCATGGCCTGTTCAACCTTTGTAACCAATAATTTTATTTCTGAGAACTAACTTAGATCAATTATTGTCTTTGAGTTATGGAATTACAAGGTTTTTTCCCTGGTTTACATAATTCTTTTTAAATATCACTTTTAATATTTAAAAAATTAATTGATGCATTAATACCTATTGGTAGAATGTATACTTATACATTAGCAATATTCCCTAGTTGCTATTTCTTTATAATCAATTAAACTAGGAAATGAAATTTAAATATAATGGATTATTTTGTTCTGTTTATACATGTATATAAATTTATAGTTTTCTCTTTTCTCTTTAGGAAAAGAAAGAAAGGCAGGAAAGAATGGAACGAAAAGTAAAGAAACGTCACTCCTTTCTTGAAAATGAGGCACTTCCTCCATGGAGTCCTCCAAGCAGAACTGTGTTCTCAAAAGTGATTTGATAATTCTACTTCTTACAGTATTTAGTTATTAATTCAGTAATGTTAGCGATAGGATTAAAACTATGTATCCAGTTATTTATAGTTAGAATAGTTTATTTTAAATTAAATGCCAGCTGCTTCTGCTGGTCATAAAAAGTATGCTTTGGGGCTTAACCAGTGAAAACATTGAAAGTGGTTTTTGAACTACAGATAAACTGCCTCAAATGAAAAGCTCTGATCATCAGGATGCTCTTACTTGTAAAATACCCTTTATCATGTCCTGAGGCTTCTTACAGCCAGGTGATCAGTGATCGCTTTCACTATGCCGTTTATGTTATTTAAGTATGTTTGTTCCCAGTAGTAAAAAGGGAACCATCTAGATACAATAATTATGGAAATAATTGAATTTATATATGATTGTACATCTAGATTCATGTTTTTAAATGAACTGTTGCTGGGAAGTATGAATATATTATTTCTTCTAAAATTGATCTTTAGCTCAAAGCAGTTTCATTTGCACTTTGTAAGTTAGAGTTTTGGTCAACTGAGGAGTAATTCAGTAGTTTAGTCAACTGAGGAGTAGTTCAGTAGAATGCTAATTATTGAAACATTTTAAGAATTCTGCCTTTTGTTTTAATATGAATGAACTTTACCTATTCTAGGCTTATGTGACAATCACAGGCATTTTGTCATGAGCAGACCTCTGAAATTTGTCTTTTTAAATTTCATGTCGCTTTATTGTTTCAGTGATACCAAAAAGATATCTATTCCATGGTAGTGATATACTTAAACATTAGTTATAGAAATTCTGCATGGGGTTGGGGGGCGTGGGGGAGTTCCTCAGCTGACCTGCATCCTCTCCAATCCGGGAGTCCTCAGGGGATGTCCAACTGTCAGTTGACATCCTGCGGGATCAGGCCTAAACTGGAAGTTGGACATCCCTCCCGGAATCCAGGACCTCTGGCTCCTAACCCCTCACCTGCCTGCCTGCCCTAACCACTCTGCCTGCCTGTGTGATCCCCCTAGCTACCCTCCCCCCCTCCCACTGGCCTGGTACCCCTAACTGCCCTACCCTGCAGGCTAGTCACCCCTAACTGCCCTCCCCTGCCGGCCTGGTCGCTCCTATTAACTCTTTTGAAATCTTATCCCCTTCACACACAATTGTATTTGACTTCCTTGCTGGCTTCTTCCTCTCACATAATTTTTCTCTCTTCTTTATGTAACACTTTTTCCTACTGACTCATCATTTATAAACTGTTCTTTCTTCCTTATTTCCTACTTCTGTTCCATCATTCTTGCCATCTTTCTCCTACCCTCTCCACATTCCTTCTTTCCTTTATCTTTACCTCTTCCCTCCCTTCCCTTTTCCTTCCTTCCCACCTTAATTTTTTCTTTCTTCCTCCCTCGGACCTGCTTTGCTCCCTGCCCCATTTCTTCCTTCTTCCCATTCTCCTTTTAAGCTCTACCAGCTCCTCTTTAAAACTTTTCTTCTCTCCCTCTTTCTCTCCCATCCTACCTTTCTCATATATACTCCGCTACTTACTTCAACTGTTTTAATATCTATCTATCCACCTGCCTAATTATTCACTATCATTTATCTGTGTTCTTTTCACTTACTTTTAAAATCTGTCCCCGGTACAAGACTATACTTCATTTTAATTATAGCTCCTACAGTTCACACATACATCATCTTTCCTTTTCTAACTCTGCTCTCTACTGACTCCTTTATAAGGTTCTTCCCTCCCTTCCTTCCTTCTTAAAGCTCCATTCAGGGGGGCGTTAACCCCCAGCCCAGGGCTCAGCCCCAGCCAGGTGTTCACCCACCCCCCCCCTTGCCTGACTTCCCCTCCACTGTCCTGCTCCCTGGGTGGCTGAGGCCCGAGGGGCCTGGGCGCTGCTGCTGCTGCCAAGCAGGAGCGCCTGCACCCAGAAGGCCTCCGACTGTCCACCAGTCTGGCCCATGGGCGCCTCCCTGCCAACAGCTCTGCCTTCCTCCTGCGTCTGGATGGGGGAGTGAGGCCCCGCTCCACCCTTCACCAGGCACACCTACTGCCCCTTGCTCTCCCACTCTCCCGCGCAGTCACCACCTCCTGCGTTCAGCCCCACGTTTCCTTCCCTTTTCCATTCCTGCATCTTTTCCTTATTCACTTTCTGTATTTCTGTTTCTTCTCTCTGCCTGTCTGCATGCAGACCTGCCTTCTTCCCCTCTCCTTTCTTGTCTCCTCCTATTGTATCCTATCCTACCCCAGGCCTTGGAGCTGCCTGAGCAGAGGGTGGGGCCACAGCCTGCTGATCTGGTCATGAGGTGACAGTGTAACAGATAATGTGCATATCTCTCTATTATTACTATAGATTATTTTCCAAACTAAAGCCATAAAGGTGATAAAGGCAATTTTTGTTCTTTAACCCAGAGTCTTACAGCTTATATTTGGAAAACAGCTGTATAGGAAGGTAATTTGTAGAAAAAGTCCAATCAGCTTTAACTTATTAGATCTCTGCATATCCCTGTACTAATTGGACTCATACTTGAACTGGTCAGATAGTTTATCACAGACCAAGTGAACGTTCTTGGAGTTGAAATGCTTCTTTAGCCAATGTACAGTGCAATAATGGATGAGAAAAACAGTTACTATTTATTAAGCACCTATTTTATTCTCTCTGCTGGATCTTTACAAATGTTATTTCCATCTTTACAACAACTCATCAGGGTAGTTATTATTAGTCCCATTTTGCAGATAAAAATACTGAGACTCAGAGAAATCAAGTGAGTTGCCACACTCTGAGCATGAGACTGAATTGATTAGATAGAGCTGATTAAGTGGGCCGCCATTCAGAAGCCTCATACCCATTTCATGCTCTCCTGTGGCCCCAGAGAATTTTCTCAAGGGGAAAATTATATATCAATCTTACACGCACGTTTTACCTCTCAGATCCTACAATCACCTATTATTATCCAGAGATTATCTTTCACTTAAGAAATAGCTGTAGACATCTATAAAATAAAAACAGAATTCATAGTATTTAAGGATTAGTCAAATGCTTTGTATTTAGTATTAGAATATTAGAAAGCCCAGCAGTTATGGAACATAGGCATTGAGATAGTCACTCAGAAAGATAGTCAGTTTGAGAATTAATCTCGGTACAGTGAATGTGCAAGGTAAGAAAAATGTCATGGATTCCTTTGTAAGGTCACATCAGTGCTACATACAAATAAACAACATTTTTATACAGCCTGAACTAGGAGACTACTTCATGAAATTGACATTATTACCAGCAACATGTATTATCAACATGGAATTTAGGGCCTTATCTGTGTGTCCCCCATAGTACCAAACACAGTGCCTACCAGAATAGATTGCTAAGTGCTTATTGTATCAAATTCGCTGTTCAAGCTAAAAAGATATTTGCAAATTCCAGGAAGTAAAAGGAAAAATAGAAAAAAAGGAAAGCTACTTTTATGGCTGTGACATCATAAATGTGTCATAGATTTCACATTAATATTTATTTCAGCTTCCTGATCATTTTCTTCTATATTATCACATTCAGTGGGTTACCATTATCGCATCTAAGTTGTCAGAATTGAGTGAAGTTAATTAATGTAAATTATATGGCTTAATAGATGTTCATTTTTTTCATTATTGACTACCATGAGCCCTATATTTCATTTTTTTCATTATTGACTACCATGAGCCCTATATTTCCCTATTTCGAATATATATGAGGTTAATATAGATAGGGTTGATAATGGCTATTTGACATATATAAGAAGAAATCTTTGCTTTCCTGGTCAGTCTAGGTCATAGCACTTAAAAGAGAATATGGAGGTGACCTGTACTTAGGGACCTCCTAAAAAAAAATCTAATTTCTTAGCATTGCTTGTGAGGTAGGATATAAAGGAAAATTGAGATGTTTGCAAAGATCTAACAAGCAATTTCCTTTAAAAGAATACTTTTACCTTACTTTGGTTAAAAAATAAATAAATTATATATATATATATATATATATATATATATATATATATATATATATATATATAGTCTTGCTTATAGCAACCAGTGCTGCTTGAATTATCTAGTTGAATGAAGTCAACTCTTCTCCTGTAGCAGAAATAAAGCTGATTTTTGGGAGCTAGGCAAAAATATAGTATTCTTTACCTTCTGAGATTTCAAGGGGAGAATCAAGCCTGACAACATTCTCTTGAATATATTCATTTAAAGGATATGGTTACCCCATATTTCCTTTAAAAGTCTCAAATATCATTGTATATCAGTGGTTTTTAACTGGTATGCTACAAGAATTTTTAAAACATGTCCCTAATTAGTCAGGGACACTGACCTCTTTTCCCTTAGATTGTCAAATAAAACAATGACAACAGCCAATACTATGACAGCCATCCAGTGTGAATGAATTAAAAAAAAAAATGTTTTTGGTAGATTGGCAAAACATATATATATTTTTTTTTTTTTGGTGTACTGCAGAATTTTAGTAGTTTATGTGTACCATGAGATAAAAAAGATTGAAAATCATTGATGTAGAAATTTGTTGATTAAATTTTCATTAATTTATAAGGGAATTTTAAATTAACATAGGATAAGCCTATAGATTTCAGATTATTAAATTGTATCACTTAAAGAATGCTGACACTTCAAAGTAAAGGAAATAGAAATTTAATGAATATTTGAAAATATTACCAAAAACATTTCCCTAGAAATTTAAGTATTAGTAATAAAAAGTAATTTTTATGCAGAATTTAAGTTTCAATAATCAAGAAAATAATAATGTTACATAAGTAAACAACACAGCATTTTAGATCAGAAGGAGGTTAAGGTTTTCTAAATGAAAGAACTAAACTGTTGAGGGATAACAATATTCTAGTGGTTTATAGAGCATCATATTTTTCAAGTGTTAGTAGTGCATTTACTCTTTTAAATAGTATTGAAACGGATATTTTTCACTGTTGCCAAAGCAGTATCTGAAAGTAGGTATGCATTTTAGAGTGACGTAAGTATTCATCTAAAAGG